TCATTAGGTTGAAATATTTCATTTTGGTTTTTAATTTTCATATCCTCGTTGCTTATATGGTTGGGCATCTTTTCATATGTTCATTGGCCACGGAAGTTTCCTCTCTTATGTCATGACTGATTAAGTCAATAGCCTATACATAATCTTTCTTATTGGTTCATAGAACTTTTTATATAATTCTCTTTCAGTTATTTATTTTTCAAAAATTTTCTTCCAGCTTCTGGTTTGCCTTTTTGTTTTCATAACAGTATTCTTTTAGTAAACATAAGTGTATAACTTTAATGTAGTCAATGTTTTCAACCCTTTCCTGTATGGTTTTGCTTTCTTAAGTGCCTCATGTAAGAAATCACCTCTTAGATTAAGGTCATAAATAGATACATCTACACCATCTCCTATCTTTTATCATTTTGCTTTATACATTTGAGTAGTCAATCCATCTGGAATAAACTTCACGATACGAACTGAGATGAGGGTTGCAGTTTCACCATCTTTCTTTCACTGAGATGCCTAACATTTTTAACTCTTCTTGAGTATGTTATCTATGTCAAAAATCAAATTTTCATATACATGAGGGCCTGTTTCTGGGCTCCTTGACCAACATATCCATTGTTTTGCTCCAGGGCCTAAATTGGTACAGTTTAATAATAAATCTCTTTCTTTTAAGGCACAGGAAATGCCGTGATTATTTCTGGTGCACTGTTCTTTCATATATATTTTTGCAATAGTTCACCAAATCCTATTTTAAAACCTTTAGAGTTATTTTTGCTGGAATTACATTGAAGGTATAAATCAACTGAAAGTTGCCTCAATTAAGCTATTGAGTTTTTAAATCTACAAACAAGGTTCCTTTGTAGTTTTATATAAACTTTTAAAAATATATTTTAATAAAATTTATTTTTCTTTATGAAGGTCTTGATTATCCTTTACTAGGCAAGGTCTTGACTTTTACCAAGGTAACTTATAAATTATATTTTCCCTCTGAGACTCCCTGAATAGATGTTATATGTTTTATTAATTATGTATCCAGCAAACTTCCTAAAATCTTATATCTAATAATTAATCTGTAGGCATGCTTGATGTTTTCTAAACAGACAATTGCATCACTAGTGAATAACAACAGTTTCATTTCTTCCTTTCCAACCCATTTCTGTATTTCTCCTTCTTGCCTTCCAATATGATGTCAAATGTAAGATGTGACATTTTCAAATGTTAAACCATACTTACATAATTGACTAAACTCAACTTAGCCATGATCTCTTTTATGTTATTGGATATGATTTGCTAATCTTTTGTGGAGGATTTTTTTTTTTGCATTATTTTTATGTGTAGGATGGGGCTGTAAGACTTCTTTTTCATCATTACTTGGTTTTGGTATCCAGTAATTAACCTTCCAAATTAAATATTTGGAAATGTTGAAGGTTGTACCTCATTACCTTATACATTTCATACTCTCAAAGTTTCACTGGTATCAGAGTTGTACTACTTCCATTTTTTTGTCTTCTGGAAACAGTTACATGTGACTGGAGATTATTTGTTCTGGTTTGATATAAGTGATAAAATAACTTGTGCCTTATTTTTCTTTTCTACTTTCTTTCTCCCTTCCCTTCTCCTTTCCTCCCTCTCCCTCTCATTTTCCTGATGATTGATACTACGGTGATTTATTTTCCTTTGAATTTTGTACTTTGAAACTGTAATCTCTTACTTCTTGAAACTTTAACTTTCAGGCTTTGACTGAAGGTAAAATCCCTCAAGAAAGGATATGCTTTTTTTCCTCTCCTAAAACATAACATAAATCCAGGCGGCCATGATCACAACTCCTCAGAAGACACTTCTCTTCTCCCACTCAGCACCAAGGCTTGACACTGGCAAACTCCCTTGCAGTCCTTGAGGTGGAAGATCTGACCTATTTTCATCTGACAGAGCAGTGGAGCCCCAAGGGCTCTAGCTTTAGGCTAATTCTCCAATTAGATATCCCATTTTGGATGAGCTCTGAGCTTTGGCTACTGTAACTCAGAGCAATACCAATTACAGTATCACCAGAATATATGGGACATACAGAATAAATAGGACAGTATGAAAAGTGAAAGAAACTAGGCATAGAAAGTATATACTTTATGTCATTCAAATGTAATTCTAGAATTGACAGCGCTTACCTATGATGTCAGAAAGCAGACCGAATGGCTGTTTAGGGCTGACAGTGACTGCAAAGTTCTATAAGGGAACTACTTAAGGTAATAAAATTGGTTCTATCCTAATTGTGGTGGTAGTTATTAATCAAGCTGTTAACCTAAACACAGTTTAAACTGGTGCAATTTATTTATATATATATAAATCATTCCTCATTAATGTTGATTTTTAATATTGGAATATAGACACATAAAAATTATCAAATTATATAAGTAAGATCTGCACATTTTACTCTAGGTCAACTTTATGTCAATAAAGTAATTTTAAAACCCCTTTAGGAACTGGCATTTCAAAAATCAAGTAAGTTTTCCCACCACCCTTACTAGCATCAGTGTCAGTTTAAAATAAATGAAGCCCTTATCAAGACCTGGTGAACCTCTGCGATGAGGCAGCTTTAAGACATTAGTCCTTGGTCAGGTCACCGTTTAGTTTTTATTGCTGTTGAAAACGTATTTCTATGGTTGAAGTCTACTTCTAGGTTAATGCATCGGTGAGGAGAAGATGGCTAGCTGTGCAGTACTGTTCCTGACATCGTTCAGGCCATTTTGACTATTATTTCTATTGCACATTTATTCATTTATAACGAAAAAGAAGTCATGTCAATATGAGTCACCAAATTGCTATTGCTAAGGTCCCAAAGGTTTTCGAAGAATGAAATACATACACTCATTTTTTTCTGGTTTTATATGAGGGTGATTTTGTTGCCTTGTGGTCTAGCTAGAGTCTTCTTGAAAATCATGGTCTCTCAGAACCATGAAAATGCGGAAGCAAAAGACCATGAAGATATACTAACTCCCGAAGTGCCAATGACAAGCACAGAATGTTCTTTTGGTCCTTTCCCTGTCGCCAATCCCTAGTCCTACTAAGTTGGGCACTCCTATCCTGGATTCTACGCCATTCTTCCGGCACTGTCTCAGATTATGTTTCTAACTAAAATTTCATTCTTCTCATTTAATCCTACTCTCCAATTTTCATCTTAACATCCTTTGAGTGATTCAATTCAGTTCAAGTTCTTGGCTTCCTCTAAACTACCCAATGTGGTGCTCAAACCTGAACGTACTAAAAATCAACCTGTCACTGAAGAGATCACAAGCTAGTGAGGCACATTTATAGGTAAATAATAATAGAGATACATTTGGTGCTAGTGACTCATAAAAACAGGCCCCCCGCTTCCCCGGCCAGCTTAGAGGGTCTGAGGCGTTTTGTGAAGGAGACAGAGGAAACCTAAACAGAGCCCTGAAAGGTGAACAGGATGGGCGGGCATACAAGGGTGGCCAAGAGTCGGCGTACATTACGGCATTCAAGGTAGAGAAAACAGGAGGAGGGGACCCGCAGGTCCCCGTATGGCCCACTGGAGAGTTGGTCTGTGAGGCCCTCTCTCACTGGGAGTTTAGCATTTTAGAAATTTTTGGTAAAGAATTATACTCAACTTACAAATGTTTTTAAAGTTGAAAAACTCTGTCATTTGTGTTTGTTTCTCTGACATCTGTTTAACACTGCAAACTCTGGTTCATCATTGCAATCCAGAATTACTCTAGCATGATTTCTAGGAACCACAAAGTATACACTCTCAGAAGAATTTAATGGTATAGAAAAATTTGATAAAGTTTCTTTGGCATTTTGTATCTGGCACATACATAAATATCACCACAATGTGGTAATTGGAAGAAAATAACAGGAAAATGCATTTAAGTCAATTGCACTATGATAAAATAAAGAAAATGAGCTACAAGAAGATGACCTCATTCAGGTGACGATTTCTATTCTAACCTCTGTCTTTCATTGACACTGCTCATCAGTGGCCTGTCTGTGCTCAATGTGACAGTAATAACATTCCTACACACAAAGAATATTTCTAAAGAGGACCTTTCAAGTAGAGAAGGATATTTTCTTCCTGGGGATAGTGTGTGTCTGTGTGTGTGTGTTTGCATGTGTGTGTGAATTTATGTGCATACATGCCAGCACATTATTTAGGTTATGTCAAGCATGCATACACTCTTCCACTGAATCTCTTCCAAGTACCTTATGGTTCTGGGTTCCAATGAAAATGACCACTACTGTAGATTAGGGGATCACAGGCCAAAGAATAAAATAAATTTAATGATTTTAAAGATACAGCCAAACTGGAGTCTCTGAACAACTTGTTGAAAAGGTTTTATATTTCCCCTTTTCTTCAGGCTCTTCTAATCACCATAAGCTGATCTCCCTTCTAAAAATATCTGACTTTCATTTTTAAGCTCGTTTATCTCTATTATTGGCAGCTAAAGATAACGAGAATTATTTCATTTATAATATACAACTTTTTAAACATTTTGGCATGTCTGCCATATAAATCATGCAAATAAACACTATGATAATCTAAAGATATGTGCATGCAGTTTTTGAAAAATTAAGAGCTTTGTATCAAATGATACTTTTCTCAAAAAAAAAATCACTGGATTTAAAGACAATATAAATCACTCCGTACACAGTATTGTACCAACATCATATAGCCCTGCTGTTGGATATCTCTTGTTTCCCTTTAAAATGAATTACAAATTATTTAAAGCGTTAGGGGTTAAAAACATCCATGGTTAAATATTAGGAAGCGAGTCCAAATTGCAGAACCTGCACCTAAAATATTTACAATAACATTTCAGAATTAAATATTATTTTTCAAACGGTAATCTTCAAACTATCATTCAACATTCAAAACACACAGCTCTAGAGAGGTTCCTCTGAGCACAGAGCTAGTTAATAAGACATGGAATATGTAATTTCACACGTGAAGCAAGAAGGTACAGATAAGCATCATTCCCCACCAGAAAACAAACCTTAAGGAAATAGTTGTTATTGTTATTGCAGTTGCCAGACACTCCTTGCAATTCAGCCACAGTGTTCTAAAATGGTTGACAACAAAAATTAAAAAAGCTTTTTCCCCTCTAAAGGGAGCAGCCTAATGATAAAGAATTCAAAAAGAACCCAAACGCTGAAGCTCCAGTGTCTGCCACCATGTATGCTTTCAAGAACTAAGAGAATGGCCCCACCCTTAGTTTCTGAACATTTTAAACATACGATAAAGTCAATTCACATTATTAAAAGGCCATCCATAATAATTGCAATCACTTGTTCATGCAACCCAAGCTGCTCCAACCAGGAACAGCAAACTGCATGAGTCAAATATAATGTTATCCCTTTAATGCTTTTCACATAAAAATTCAATTCTTGTAAACCTTTTAACACTTATGCAAGCCAGATCTTCCATTATATTTTTGCCTCTAGTTATTACATGTTAACACAAGCAATGAAGACGCATATCCATGGAGATAGCTGTTCTAAACTGTATTCAATACTTTAAAAGATTATAAAAAATTGACTAATATTGCCATTATATAGTTATAATATTAATTTCCAGTAATGGAAACAAATTATAGAAAGATTAAGTTATGTTTTAAAAAGGCGGCCTTCGTTTCTGGAGTGAGGCCTAACATTGTTATGAACTACTGCCTAAAAGAGACCAAAATGCCAGCTATACTCTAAGACTTTAAAATGTAATGAATAGTATATTTTAAAACAATATCTAAAGAGGCAAAAGTAAAATAATCATATACCTTTAAATGTGCATGTAAAACAGCTCATTTTAATGTGAACGGCTATATGTATTTTTTAATTAAAAAAAGTGATATAATTATTCGTTTGTGCTTCATTTCCAATCTGAGTCCACAGAGTTTCACATTGCAAAATGCTTTCTGATAGAATCAGATACACAAAATCTACATATTAAATCCACAGCACACAAAAAATACCAGAATTATATCATCCCACCACTCAAAGGTTAAAGATCGGTTGTGTGTAGTATGACAGGAGATTTAATTTGTTACTGAAAATTAAAATCTAGTTGAAAAATTTACCATACCCCCAGAATTTCATGGGATAGTGCTGAATGTCTGAGAGGTTTATTGAAATCCTCCATGGTTACCTTTCAGATTGTTAGAAAGAAAGAAAAAATGAAAGGAGGGAGGGAGGGAGGGAGGGAGGGAGGGGGAGGGTGGAGGGGAAGGAGGGAGGGAGGAAGGGCGAAAGAAAAAGAAATGAACAATAATTCTATTAAATCCAGAAATACAATCATTAGTCACAGATCCACATTTAATATTTTTCAGTTTTTCAGATTTATGTCTCCCTCTTCTTTATAGGATCCCTTTTACTCTTTAGCCTTTCGGTAGAGCCACTTTAACTTTGCTTTTTAAAAATCAGAATGTTTAACACTGAGCGTAAAAAGATATAGGAATGCAAATGAAAACTGAATTGGCTGTTTGCTTATTATAAACTCTTCTAGTTTAAACACTTGGAGAAAAAAATCTAGAAAAAAACTGCAGAAATTTAGTTTGGATATTATCTATATATTTTAAATTCTTTTGGAGTATAATGTATACTTTCCTAAAGCACTGAAACAGATATAGCTAAGCACACACAATACATGATAAAGTATTCTTAACCCTAAATATGGTTCTGATGGAGGACCGCTGTACCTTTACAATTTCTGGATATATTTATCACATTGCAATGTTTTCCCTGTAGGCAATTCAAGCAAGCAACTCCCCTTTGTCAATGTGACAAGATCCAAGTTAGAATAAACCTTGGATGATTTGACCAAAACCAGAAGCTATCTATCCTTCAGTAGACAATGCTGATCTAAGTGCTGGCTCTGGAAATTACTTGGATGAACTTGGTTGTTCTGCATTTAATTAGAGGTTTTCCTGGCTGGCTTGGGGAATATACCTCAGGGGATATGGGCAAATAAAAATGATTCTATCTTTGAAATCACAAAAAGATTCTATAAATAAGAAGAGTGAAAAACTAAGTGATTGATTACACAATTCATGATTAACCAAGATACATAAATCAATAAATTGTTCAATTCCATATAAAATTAACTGAATATTCAAGGACCACTGGATAACCAGTACTGGTTCATCTCATTTCCATTAGGTTTCTTGGACATTTTACATTTTATTAACAAAGAAAGAATGTAAGTAAGAAATAGAGACACCGCATTCCAATCAATTTAAGAATAGTAGGTAGCATTAGTAAAAACAAGAATTTAAGTCACGTAGATAAATTGAAGTGTTTACACAAGAGTGAATTTTCATCCTTTGTACAGCTTTCATCTCTCCAACTACAGAAAATTAACAGCTGGTTTTAGCCAGGCACGTGTTGGTGAGGTTGTGCGTGACGGCAGGAAAGGGAGAAACAGAAGTCAGGAGCGGGAGGGAGGGAGGCACAGGAAAAGGCCCCTTACCGTTTCAATAAAGTGAAGGCTACATGGAACGGCATAGTGGCAAGCACCTGATTTCTATTTCTACAACTTGCAGAGGGAAGAAAAAGTTTAACCTAAAGCTAAACTCTATTTTTTGTAAAATATTTGTATACTCACTCATTCTTCCCTTAAAGCCTTATCTCCATAGGATACTTATGGATTAAATATTCGCCTAGAGCAAAAAACCCTCCAAGAATTCAATTTCCATACTATTAGAAACAGAACAAAGGGTCTCAGAAGCAAAGTGTTACAAGGTATTCCAACATCCTTGACAAGAATCCTCTAATTGGGTGTCACCCAATTAGTCTGTGTGTGCCTGAGCACAGAGAGACCCATCAGCCCACGCCACTAAAAACTCTTCCCTCAGAGCCAGGGCGACCCTCTCCCCATCCTAAGTTTACAACTACGAGCTGTACCACTAGGAAAAGCTTCAGTTGCTGCTTTTCCTTTTCTCTCTAGAGAAAAAAAAGAATCTGTTTGCTGTAAGATTACATGAAATCATGTGGGAAAGGCACCTTGAAAAGTTCCTGGCAATGAATATTTATTTACCCCCATACCCCCTGAAAATGTCTGTTTTAAGTGACAATCGGCCCTGCTTTCCTTACAAAAACAGGCAAAGAAAAATCCATATGATGTTTTCCTAAGTATAAACGTTCAGTAACAAATACTCCTTTTGCATTTACTCATATAATTACATTAGAGAAAACTGTATGTATATACGAAGAGGGAGCCAAAAAGAAACTGGAATTATCTTTTGGAGGGTGCAATGCTTGTAGTACAGGCGTCCCCCACTAGGTGAGTGATCTAGGAAGCCATCTGTATCAGTGCACCAGCTGGCCTTGTTGTGAGAGGCTGAGTTCAGCTTCAGTGAATTTTTTTTGAAGACTCTTTCAATGCATTTGCCCATTTCATGACGGGTGATTTACCAGCACAGCTGCCCGCACCGTGCTGAGTGTTCAGCAGTTTTTGACCCATGACGGCATGACCCCTGTACCCCACCCTCCTTCTTCACCCTGACCTTGCCTGGAGCGACTTTTTTTGTTTTCCCGGATGAAAAAAAGTCCTCAAAGGGAAAAGTTTTGCCTATGTGGAAGAGGGGAAACAAAAAACAAAAGCACTAAAAGGCATTGCAATCGACAACCACATCAAATGGAGAGTACTTTTAAGGTGAATGACATTTAAGAGTGTAAGAAAACACGATTTTTTTATAAATACAATCCATTTTTTGGGTCTCCTCTCATATATATATTTATATATAAAGCTTTAGATGCCTGAGTCGAAAACTTTTCGGGAGGAATGTGATCAATTCCTCAAAATAACCTGAGAAGTATGTAGTACGTGATCTAAAAATTTCACTTGGAGTACCTTAAAAAACTGTTATTTTCCTTCTTTCCTTGTTAGACCAGATGCTTTATTTCAGAGGTTCATGGAATATTAGAAGCTGGAAAGAATTTAGACATTGAGCCCAGTCCCTGTGCTTTAAAGCCAGAGACATGGAGGCCCACAGAGACTGGAAAGCTTGGTCTCAGCTTCCACCACTTGACGTCAGCCATTCTCCCCTGGGCCTCGGATCCAAAGTCTTTCTAGCAGAGTGAGCAGGTAAAAACCAGACCTGCAGAGAATGATTCTATGACCCTAAAATAGACTTGTAGTCAAAGCAAATAAGTATCTCTGCTAAAACACAAAACACTAGTGCAAAGAATGGAAAACTAGGTAGGATGAAAGTTCAAATATTTGAGGAAATCACTCTTTCAGTTTCTAAATCCAAGGTAACTTTTTCTTATGTAATATCCCATATTAATGAAAAAATACTCACCATTTCAAATGAATTCTGCAAGTGAAAAGAACTAAACCAACTTAATAGAATTCTAAGAGACTAATCAGTCACACGAAGACTTTCTAATGTATACTCTTTGAACGAAAGTTAACTAATGCACTGTTTTAAATTTCCTACTATAATAAATGGAGATTACATCCTCATTATGCTACAAGCAAATGAAAAGACTAATATATATATTTGGGTTAAAACATTCCAGACTAAAATATATATAAAAATATTTGAATGTCTGTTTATTAATCCTCACTACATCCTGGCTAGAAACCAGAAAAATTCTGGACAAAGAATAAATTCAGATGAGCAGAGGTTGAACATAAGTTTCACTGTCCTTATATCAGCTGGGATAAAGAATATTTATTTTACCTGAATATTTACTATGTTTATGGAGTATGAAATGCTACAACTAAATTGTTGATGGATCTTTGGACATGCCGATATGAAACACATGCATGTTTAAAATAAAGCATGTTGTCCCATTATATCAATGTATGTTTGGCATTTACATTAGAAATAGACCAGCATCTGTATTATATTACACACACAAGGGTTCCGGACAGCCGTTTTCACTTGGGGGTTAGCTTCTATTCATTTACTTGATCTTCTGCAGAGAACAGGATGCAAAATTATTCCAATATGTATCTACTCTATGGAATATGTGTTGTGGAAAAGCTTTGTTCTGCATTATGTTAGCACAAATCATAGTGAGCAGATCCAAAGAACTTTCTCTTCCTGGAAAAACGAAAACACTCAGCGATTTTTAGTACTTTCTGTGTTTCTGTGTGTGTGCCTCTTCATGCAAAATGTTTACTGATTTTTTTGAAAGAGCATTACATAGTTGTAGAAAATTTGGTAAAAATTGAAAAAACATAAAGCTGAGAAAGAAAATCATCTAATTCAAACAATAAAGACAGCTACTATTGATATTTTGGTGTTTTAACTGTTTTTTGTTTCAATGAATTTCTTTTAATAGAGTGATGAGATAACTTCCTTGATTCCAAATCTTCACCCTGTGAACAGAATGCCATTATTTGATTCAAAAGTGAATAACACATTCAAGTAATATTTCTTTCCGGTGAAGGTTGAATGTAGCCACACTCTCCCTGGGAAACTGCAAAGAATCTGTCATGTTGTTATAAAGTAAACAGTTTTACAAAGTAGGAACCTAGCAAGAAGGTATGTAGGGGAAAAAAAGTAGCATGGGCTACGTACCTCGTCATCATCGGCATCATACTGGGCGTAGTGCTGTTCTAGCAGTTCTCTCTGGCGCCTCTCTTGTTCCAGCGTCTGGCTTATCAGCTGGGCAACCTCACTCACTTGTCCTGGTTTTTCTCGCCCAATAACAAATCTGCAGGATGGGTAAAGAAGACTAGTACAGTTAGACTGTCTCGTAAATAGGAGAGCTAAGAAAAGTAACCAAGCTTGATATCTCATCAGGGTTCAAGAAGCCTCAAAAAAATAGTAATACTACCACTATACTTTAAATGGCAGGCCTGGGTGGTAGAAGAGCTTACTGGAATAATTGGAGTGATTTCTGTGGCAGCCCAAAGGAAAAGAAAGGAAAAAAAATACATGATCATAAAAAAAATATTACCTTGGGAGAAGACAAAACAAATGTAATTCATTCAACAGTACTTTACACATTTTTGATGCCCTACATATGGAAGTAAACTCCTAATTTCCTGTACTATTGAACTTAAGATTTTCATAATAATATCCTCTTTATAAAACAAAAACTGCTTCAAAAATGTTTGAGGTATAGCATACATTCGGTGGGTAAATATATTCACACAGAGAGAGGTACTAACTTTTTGCTAAGTTACTGTAACTTTGGAAATAAAGAAAAAAAGAGGAAACAAATGGAAGTGGGGTTTTTTTGTTTTAAAATGAAAAACTAAAATGAGGACAGGTGGTGAATTAATTAACTTCTTTTGGAGCAAGATAGTATGAGGAAGAATATGCTTTCGAATAATAAAGGGACTAAGGGAAATACATTTATATTAATTCTTGTAAGAAAAAAATTATAAAGGAAAAACCAGGGAAGTCATCTATTGCGAGGCACAGTCACTTATGAGCCACCCTTATTAATACTGTGTGTTTTGCTCAACAAATTAATATTCACTTAACATCTTTCCATGCTAATATAAGGCTCTGTTTTTTAAAAAATACAATAAATTATCTCCATGATATAATTTCTATATATTATTGAACATCACTACTTTGGATGTGACTCAGCTACTGCTATATTTAATAGATGTTTTCTTGTGATTATAATCTATTGCTGTATAAAATTATAATTTTAAATGAAATACTCCACATTCTCTGTACAAATACACTAAATGTCCAAATTTTCATATTTAGACGTTATAATTAATTGTTTTTTAAAAAGATTTTTATGAAATTTCAAACAGGACTTAATTTTGATGTTATGTTTGAGTGTTTATTATTTGAGCTATTTTCCTTTAAGAATACACTCTAATTAGAATTTATAAATACTAAAATTTTCATCTTTATTCGGGTATAATTCACACACAATAAAATACATATATTTTAAATGTACAGGTCAGTCAATATGACAAATATATAAACCTGCGGACACTACCTCAATAAAGATACAGAACATTTCCATTAACTCAAAACGTATCATTTCCCTTTCCAGTAAGTCATTCTCATTCTGGGCCCGTATTAGATGTATCTTTAGAGTTTCATATAAATGGAATTATAGAATGCCTGGCTTCTTTGGCTCACTATATAGTTTTGGACAGCTATCCATGTTTTTGCAAGTATCAGCAATTTGTTCCTTTTTATCACTGAATAGTGTTTCATTATACCAGACTTGCCATATTTGGTTTATCTATTTTTGTATTGATAGGTATTTGGGTTGGATTTTTGATAGTATCAGCAACGTTACTATAAACATTTGAGTGCAAGTCTTTGTGGGGACATAAATTTTTATTTTCCTTAGAAAAATAATTAATAGTGAAATTGATGTTATATGTTAAGTATATGCATAACTTTTAAAAAAATTGCCACCCTGGCCGGTGTGGCTCAGTTGTTTGGGGCATCATCCCATAGACCAAAAGGTCACAGGCTTGATTCCTGGTTAGGGGTGCATGCCTAGGTTGAGGGTTTTGATCCCTGGACAGGGCACATATGAGAAGGCAACCAATCAATGATTCGCTCTCACATTGATGTTTCTTTCTTTCTCTCTCCCTCCCTTCCTTTCTCTACAAAAACCAATGAAGATGTTGTTGGGTGAGGATAAAATACTGAAAAATTGTTTTTCAAAGTGGTAGTACCATTTTATGGTCTTACTAGCAATACATAAAAGTTGAAGTTGCTTTACCTCCTCATCAGCACTTAGTATTGTCTTTGAAAATTTTAGCCATTCTACTGGGTAGGTATCAAATTGTATTTTATAAAGGTTTTAATTTCTAATGTCCTGATGACTGATGATTTTAAGTGTCTTTACACGCATTTTTTGACCATTCATATGTCTTTCTTAGTGAAATATCTTTTCAAATCTCTTGTCCACTTTTTTAAAAAACCGGGTTGTTGGAGTTTTTATTATTGAACTGTAACATTTCTTTATATATCCTGGGTATCTACTTAAATATCTTCACCTATATATATTGCAGATACACACATACACAGAGAAACACACACAAATGATATATGTGTATGTGTTTGTTTGATTTATTATACTCTGCCTATCTGTGGTTTACCTCCTAATTTCCTATACTGATCTTTTGTTTCTTTAAATGCATAACCGAGTGGAGTTTAAAGGAGTATAACTTAACTTATTATAAAGATAACAGGAGGTTTAAGGAAGCAATTAATGTACAAAATGCATATTAATCAAAAACAGGAGCCAAGCTCATAGTAAGTAAATTAGAATGCACATTTATGTAGGCCATAAATTCTTTAAACTTATTTGAGAATTACATTGTCAGTCTTTTAGTTTAACAATTTTCCCTAAGAATGGAAAGTTTATTTCCTCTGCAAGGCGAATGTTTAAAGTTAATCTAAACACAGTTCAGGAAGAGAAAACATAAGATGTGGTCCATTTGCCAATAGTTGAAACTGATTTTAATTGCCGTTTTAGAGATGAATGAAGGAACATTAAGAAAGACCTTGTGAGAAATTATAAAAGCAGAAAATTATTTTTTAAAGTCTAGGTTATATCATAATAAATTATGTAATTACATAATATAATAAATCAAAACTCCAATATGATGTGCAAGTTCCTTCCTATCCTTAAAACATGATCCCTAATTCCAAACCAGAATTACTTATAAATGCTAAACCTAAAAGGAATGAATACATATAATCACAGTTTCAGAGGAAATAAGAATTGTCCCATATTGCATAAGAAACCAGCATTTTAAATCGTGAAGACATAGTTCCTCAAAATCACAGCCTGACTTTCTTTATGAATTTACTCCTACAATTTAACATTATTAACTATTTGCCCAATATTAGTTCACATTCAAAATCACTTCACAGTTTGATGAAATAGAAGTGATTTGTAACTGCATATAAAATAGACAATTCCTCTCAGGAAACGTACTCACTTTTAAAAGTGTTGTTAAGGTACATATCTTTTCACTCAAGCAGGTAATGTGGGTGGTGGTACAGCACCTAGCTGTACACATCTTTAAAGTCTTGTAATACACTATAATTTATAGTACATATTTGCAATATTAGGATTCATTCTGATGGGTATGATCCAGAGGAAAAGCACCCAGAAGTGCAACTAACTACTCTCTATCTTTATTTTCCTCATTGAAAATTAGTATCTACTCCATGTGTCTAAAAGAACAATAAAAGAATAAAATGTGGTATAAACATGAAAGGACTTTAAGGCACTATTATTATTATGACAAAACTGATAAAAAGCCCTCACTTGAGAAATGTATAACATTAAACTTACCTTTCTATATGTTCTTAAATGTTTGGTCCATTTTAAAGCTGCCTTATAAATATGTCCTATAACAGTTTACATATAATCTAGCACATATAGAATTCAGCAGAAAATGTAAAGTTTAAAGTAAGTTTATTAATTCAATTATGGATTCATATTCACAGTATAAATATTCTGTGTTACTTAGGGGTTTAAAGGGTCTGTAAAAGGGAAAAATGACTTTAACAAATAAATATTATATAATCCATACAAAAAGCTTAACTACCTGGCACCTAGAGAGTATTTAATAAATATTTATTCTTGTTTTTATCTAGATAATGTATTAAGATCTAAATAGGGTTGTGTGTATGTAAAAGCATTGTCTGTACACACAGCTCCAATTACCTCTTATGAATCACACTAGTTTTGAAAAATGACTGGATTTTTGTGAGTCAACCACAGGAAAATGATAAAATACTTGTACTACTGTGCTCTGAATATGTTAATATCAGTCACCCTCAAAAGATTTAAGTAGGGATTACATGATCACATTAAACTGAATTTTAAAAATCTTCAAAAATATAACAAATGTCTATAATAATCAGTCCCTCTGAATATTTGTGCACAATTATGATATATATATTTTAGACAGTATCTTCAACTGAAATGACACATGTAGTTAAATCAGCCTATGTCTAAACTAGAAGATCCTTTAAGAAAAAAATATTTTTTCTTGTTACTTTCCTAACTTTTTTTTCTTTGCTGCAACAAGAAGTGGTGTGGTCTTTTTATTTTTTCAGCTATAAAGAATGAGATAACAGAAACCAAACTGTAATGGATATGTAAAATAAAAATTTACGTATTTTCTAAGTATATATATATGCAATACTAAAACCAAAATATACAATTAAGGTTTATGTTTTCAGCATGGCTTTGGTCTAGTGTCTAAAACAATCATCTTGTTTCAATATAAATTATTTCAGTGAAAATTGTCCCCTCTCCCCCTCATGCTGAGATGAAATAGGCAAAGTCAGATAAATCAGTTTTTCTTTCCTTTTCATCTATTACCAGAGCACGCAATACCCATATATTGTCCTTTGGAGTTTAGATGACAAGGTTATATGGAATTCATCTGATTAATTTATTGAATTCTCTGGTGAGCTGTCAAACAAAAAATAAACAACTATAAAGTTGCACTTAAAATTTGCTGAACTGAAATAAAGATTCTATGTGTTCTGTGTGAATTATGTGAGAGTTTATGTTGGAAAATGATTTATGAGTGCCTTGTTTTACAGACAAAGGTATTCTAATAAAAGTGATACATTAGTGAAAATGGTATTTGATGTCAAAATTTAAAAATTCCCAATGCGGAATTAAGCTAGTTTAAAAAAGGAAAAGTTATACCAGGATATAGTTATTAGTTTTACATAAACAATTCTTCCATT